CCCATGCTCTGGGAACAGGTCCTTGTCAAGGGAAGACAGGCCCTGGAGGAGCAGATCCCTCGACTGGGCCGCCAGGGAGGCCCCGAGCAGGCCGGCTACACAGCCTCAGCCCCACCCAGGCTACCCTCCAAAGAAATGTGCAGACTGAGTTCCCACGGCCCTACCCCACAGAGGGGACCCGCCCGCAAGCCGGCAAGGTGCATGCCGGCAGGTGCTTGCCCACACCGTGACACTCTGCCGCTAGTGCTGTGTGTCCCTGGGTAAGCTGCTGGCCTGCTCTGAGCCCGTTTCCTCAATGACAGACGGCTGCAGAACAGAACTTGCTCAGGACTGCTCAGGACCCCAGAGTCCCTGGGAATTTTTTAGGACAGCAGAATCTCGGGCTCTGCCCCAAATCCTTGAACTTAGACCCTCAGGGTGGCGGGGCCAGCAACGCACTCAACAAATCCCCTCTGTTCATGACTGCTCTAACACCACCTTCGGGAACTCCTGGAGAAGTTTTCTGTTTTCTTCCTTTTTTATAGGGTTTTTTTTTTTTATTTCAATTCTGCTGTTAAACAGAATTGCCTAGTGACCCTGAAGTTCCCCGCCTAGGTGTACACCCAGGAGAATTAAAAACAAACCCACAGCAGTCCTCACGCACCGATGCTCGTAGCAACGCCGCTCGCGAGAGCCAAAGGTGGAAACAACCCACCTGCCCGTCAGCAGAGGGATGGGCCGGTGACTACACCACGGAATATTATTCAGGCATGAAATGAACAGAGTAAAATGCCATAGGGTGGGTAAAATTCGAAAACATGACACTAAGAAGTCAGACACAAGAGTTCAAATAGTATATGGTCTGACTTAAGTGAAATTACAGAAAGGGGCTGGGGATTTAGCTCAGCGACACAGGGCCTGCCTGGCAAGCGCGAGGTCGTGAGTTCGATTCCCGGTACTGGAAAAAAAAAAAAGAAATGAACAGAAAGTGCACAGCCATAGAGACAGAGGTGGACTGGTGGTCATTTAGGGGTAGAGGGAGACTGAGGGAGATGGCTGTGAACGGAAAAGAGGCTTGGGGGTAGGTGATAAAATATTCAGGAAATAGACAGGGGCTGGTTGTGAATATACTAAATGTCACAGGCGGTCAAGTTCGTGTGTCTCTCCCACATTGCAAAGGACGTGTCAGTCCTCCCAGGTCACAAGTGTGTAAGGCAAGCCCGCCCCTGCCACAAGCAGTGTTAGTTTGGGTCTTTGGCAGCAGCTTCTATGCTCAGATACGCGCACACGTTTATTGGGTTTGCCTCCACGTCGGAGCTCAGCAAGCACACGTGCGTCTCCTAGGCAACTTGTCGCCCCCCGCGTGACAAATCACACACACCCCCTCATGACTGTCCCTTGGCCTCTACATACAGATCGAGCCGTTTAATAGCTGCCCGGCGTGCCCCCTGCGTTCCCCTGGTGGGTGTCAGAAGGGTTTCCAGGCACTTGTCACCGTGAGCGGCCGTCCCTGACCTCGGGCAGCATGTCCTGCTCTGTACCAGGCTCTACAGGATGATTTACACAGCGGAGGTGGCTGGGCTTGGTCGGGACATCAGGACACTGGTCCCGGCCTGCTGCCCGAGAGTCATCTCACAAGGTGCAGCACCCTCAGGCCCCCTGTGCCGTGTGGGGACGCATAAACGCGCCCAGGCCCTGCCCGGAAGGGAGCAGGATTCATCCTTTTTCTCCTTGTGAACTGAGGCCGCTCGGCCACCAGGAGGGGCCATGGTAACGCTTTGAGATTTCTTTGCCAGCCAGGTGGTGGAGCCGCTCGTCAGAGCTATGGGCGGGGAAGACGACGCCGCAGGTCCTCTGGGAGGGGTCTCGAGACCCTCGTGTGCCCCCCACTGTGTGGCCATGTGCCGGCTGGGCGACAGCTCCAGGGTTCAGGCAGAAACGCCCACCTGCGCGCCCCACTGCGGAGCCGGCTCTTGAGTTTTCTGAGTGGCGCAGTCTGCGGCAGCTCTGACATTTGCGATGAACACAAACATCGGTGTTTTTCTAAATGTTAATGGGTTTCTGTGCCCTCTGCTGGCTGCTCCGGCAGGCAGTGCGCACTGCGGAGGCAGAGCCTGGTGACTGGAATTTTCCTCTTCCCCGGGAGCTTGTTTTCCTCCCTGCAGAACTGGCCTGGCGTTTCGAGTCCAGAACTCACTTCTGCGCACGCTGCTGAGAAAGCCCTGCGCGTGCTCTCAGAATCAGCAAGTGGAAGGGAAATTATTTATCTCTCACTTGGGGGAAGGATTAGTTCTAGATGGAGACTTATTGTAGAAGAATTGAGGAGGCTCTCTGGACTCAGGGAATGTATTGATTCCCAGTGAGTAAACATTGTAAGCAAATTAAATGGTGGTCGTAATAATAATGATGATGGCCGCTGTTTTTCAAGCCTGTGCCCGGCATTTAATCCCTCCGGTGACAACAGGGCACAGGCTTTATTATCCAAACATGACACAGGAGGAAACTGAGGCTCTGAGAGGTGTCACGTGGTCGACAGCAGAGGGAATTCTGACCACAAGGCCAGGCCTGTGCCAAGCGCCGCGGGTCCTGAGGGCCCTATTCCCAGGGGTCGCACCCCGGCAGCCTAGAGAGGGGCAGGGTGCCGCTCACACCGTGCGTGAGGCAGCCGAGGTTCTTGGCCACACCCCTGACCCGCCAGAGACTCGAAGCAAGAGCGTGTGGGCTCGGCCCGCGAGCCGCGTCGCTTCCCCAAGTCTGCGCTTGCTGTGGGTCTGAGGGGGCGACTGGCCGGTGGCCTGAGGTGTGGGAGACAAGCTAGCCCAAGCTGCCACTTGCTCCGCGTTGACATAAGAAAAGCACGGACAGCAATTTGCAAGGGGGTTCAGGGTAGCAGTGCAGGGTCAGGGGCACCCGTACTCCCCAAAGTATGAGCCCCTGAGCTGAGAGGTCGCTGGGCAGCTGCCTGAGCCCGGGAGCATCGGAGTCTGTGGAGGGGGGCGGGGACCGTGGCAGGAGCCCGCCCTGGCACGAAAGGGCCCGAGGAGAGAAGGCAAAGTGCCGCAAGCCTGGTGGGGCCAGAGCCCCAGCTGCTCAGAGGTCCCCTGAGAGGCCAAGAGTCTGGAGCAGCAGGTATGGAGAACAACCTCCAAGCAAACATCTCGTGAAGCAGCTCCAAAATACAGTGGCGCACATCGCAAGTCAGGTGTGCTTCAGTGGCGGCGATCCTCTTAGAGCCTTGAAAGGACAGGAACAGCCGGCCACAGCACGCGTGCCGTAGGCGCGCCACCGCAGGTGCACGTCACACGGACCGACTTCCACTCGTTGGGGAGGGTGTTGGGGAGGGGTGGGATATTTGATCCTTGTTTTAGCTTTTATGGTGCTGAGGCTGCCGCCCAGGGCCCAGCACAAGAGAGGCAAGTGCTCTGTCATTGAGCTACACCCCAAGCCACAAGCAGGGTGTTTAGATTGAATAAACTGGGGCTGGGGATTTAGCTCAGTGGCACAGCGCCTGCCTGGCAAGCGCAAGGTCATGAGTTCAATTCCCGGTACCAGGAAAAAAAAAAAAAAAAGATTGTCTAAACTGAAGAGCACCCAGCTCCTAGGAGTATGTTCAAATGGCCCTGCACAAACACTGACCCAAACATCACCATAGAGAGCCTGGAGCTTGCCCAGGGTCTAGCCGAATTGGGGCCATGTAAAGACATAGTGCTTGCCCCCCAAGTTGTGGGTCTGGGTGCCAGGCACTCGGCTCTCCCAACAACAAAGACAGCTGAGCTGTCCTCATGCCAGACACACGACCTGGACTGAAGCCACCAGTTAAAAGGGGGCCCGTGCCACCCCAGCACCAGCTCTTTCGTTGCGTGAACCGGCCCGTCAGGCTGGGCTATCGCATGTCTGCCTATTGACACTAGAGTGCGTACATCTGCCAAAAGCAGAATCTCAGTTTTGACACTGTTGATGCTAAACTATTTTTTTGCGTGACTATGATTGTCAAACAGATTGCTGAGCTGGGCACAGCCACGTAGACTGTGTAAGACCACGTCGTCGACACAGACCTTCCTTGCTGTGACAGCAGGAAACACGGCCCATTAGTTTAAAAGCCAAATCCAGTTACCGGGATGTGAGCGGTTTCAAACAGAACTCCGACGCAGAGAGACCTTTGCCACGCATCTCGGCTACGGAAGACGTGCCAGGATGTGGTCTCAGGAACCGTAAACCGCTGGGGAGGCGGGGGCGACATGGGTCACCCCACAGCGGCCACAGTTGTTTGCTGGCTGTGGCTTCGGAGCTGTGAATCCTCCCTAGGGAACTTAGGTTGTGTCTGGTTCTTCTCCCAGCGAAGCAAATCAAGTGTGACGGCGACCGGCAGTCCCCTGGGAGAGCCTCCTTTCATACCTTACTTCGGTTTGCAAAACTTCAGGCTGACACTTAACGCGGAGGAGTTACACTATGAGAAAGCTAGGCTTCCGCTCTGGAAGCGCTCAAAGGATCTGGCGCTCTTTGGCTCACCATCCGGCTGCCACGGGTGCCAGCCTCCCCTTCCCTCCTGTGTGGCAGCCCTGGCTGTCCCCCCTCGAGCCAGGGGACTCTGGTGTAAGGTTTCGTAGGTCTGAGGCCTGAGTTAAGGGTAGATACCCGCAGGGGGTCTGCCCAAAGGCGAAGGTGGTGGAGGAGGGGGAGAAAAGCTCTGGGAGCGCTGCTGGGGACAAGTGGAGGGGGCGGCCAGCTCGATTTTCCCCTCTGGGACCTCTGTCTCCGGCACTGCTTCCTTCACACTCGGTGCCAGCAAGTCGCCCCGCAGCAAGGGGGAGAAGGTGTGGAACCACGTCCCGCCCCCCACGTCACTGCCGCTCCCCACTCTGTCAGTAAGTAGACCCCTCAGAGATGGCTCGGCCAAGTTTCCGGAACATTACCAGCCTGGGGAGCATTTAATTCCATGGGTTTCACCCACTGAAATTCACAGCCCACACAACGCACGACCTCCCGACATCCGCCGCACTTGTTTTGTACAATAACAATGGTGCTATTATCATTATTGTTATTACTCCTATTATGCTGGTGCATCCGACGGTCTCCAGAAGGGAGAGAAGGTAATTGATTTCCCAGCACCCCCCACAGTGTCATTGGATACAATGTACAAAACAGCTTAGGATGCAAGGCAGGCACCAGCGCCTGCTAGGTCTGTCGCAAATTGCTAAGTGAACGCCGACTCCTGCTTCCAGCACCCTCCCGGAGCCCATGGCAAACAGGACAGCACACCGGGGTGTGAGTCACAGGGGTCCTGTGTTTCTGCTCTGATGACCGCGGTGGGGGCCTCGGTGGGGTTGAGCTGCAGAGAGCCCCCCAGTGCACCCCGGCGGGCAGCCTTTCAGGAGGAGCCGCTTCGGGACCCCCGTGGACCCCAGCTCGGCACTGTCTGTCTGAAGAACTTCTTCACGGCCAGCTCGCTGCGGCCCTTGGCCCCCGACTTGGCCAACCAGTATAGGAGGAACATGCGCCGTTCACTCTGCTTGCGGTGCAGGCGGCGGGCGGTGGCGATCGGGGTCTCCCCGTGGGCGTCCTTGTCGTGGATGGAGGCCCCGTGCTCCAGCAGGAGAGTGATGCAGTCCAGGCGGCCCATGGCCGCGGCCACGTGCAGGGCCGTCCTGCCCACCGGGGACCTGCCGAGGCAGCTGGCTCCTGGAAGACAGGAGAATGGGTTGGGCCGTGCCGGCCAGGACCCTTGTCATCCGAGATGCTCAGCGAGCCGGGCATGGGGGAACTCGGGCACTCTGGGAGGCTGAGGCAGGAACATCCCAAGTTTGAGCCAAGCATGGGCAATTTAGCAACTTAGCAGGACCCTGCACCAAAATTTTAAAAAGGGCTGAGGATGTGACTCAGTGGGAAGGTCCTGGGCCCAGTATTGATCTTTCCCTTTCTCACCCAGCATTTTCCTATTCCACCCCAGATTCCAGTGACACCTGCCTCCTAGTTGCCCTCCAATAGGCCTCGCTCGGCACCCTCCGCAGGCCCTTTGCACGTGCCATCTCCCTCGCAAACAGCACTCACCTCCCTGCCCAGGGCTCACCCCCCTTTAGGTTTCATTCACTTTCTCAAGAGACCCTTCCTTAGCCCGCCCTCCCCACGCCGCTGCCTGCATACGCTCCACAGTCTCCCCACGTCTCCGCACGCCTGCCTGTGATGGGCCGTGGGATTATTTGTAGTAAATTGCTGACTTCCTCTCCTAAACTCCAGGAGGGCAGAAACACTCCTTTTGATCAGCATGGTTTTCATCTGGGGCACATAGTGCCAGGCCTGGAGAGCACAGGCTCGGGAGAGGTGACCAACGCCCAGCCGCCTGACCCACAGACAGGTCTCTCCCTGACCGAATTCCTCACTGCCACGGGAGACAGATGGGCTCACGACAGGTGCCCTGTGTAGACTCGTTACGTTGTAGCACATACTGAGTAACAAATATCACAACACGGAAAAACAAGGCAATTCAATTAAATTCAGCTGACATTTCCGGAGCCAGCTTCTATGAGCTATGGTTGGTTGGTGAGGCGGAGTTTTAAATAGGCTCTCAGAATCCAGCACCAGCCACAGATCTCCTCCCAAGCAGCGCCAGCAGAGGAGGGCAACTTTGCAAAGCCGGCTGTCATTTTCAACAGTGCTTTAAATACATCACAGTTCTATCAGAGAGAAAATGACTTTTTATGAGCTTAAAGGACGGCTGGGCTGCGGAAAGCCCGTACTTCATCTTCTAACAGAACGGAGCAAAGGCGGCGGAGGGGGCAGAGAACACAGCGGCAGCACCCTTCCCGTCACAGAGGTTTATGGGCCCGACACATGGCCTTGTCATCCAGCCGCCAGCCCAGGCCAGAAAGCGGCAAAGAGCAGGTGGACAGAGGCGGGCAAGACGGCAGGCAAGAAAGAGGAATGTGTGCGGGCACAGCGGGAATGTGCGACCTTGGAGCCCACTCCGCCTGGCACAGGCCTCCTTTCGGTGGCCTGGGCTGCCTGCACTACTGCCCGTTCGGTTTGGGATGGCTTTCTTGTTCGGTACTGTGGACTGAACCCAGGGCCTTTGCACTGAACAACATCCCTAGAACTTGTTTTTGTTTTTTGCTTTTTCTTTCTTTCTTTTCTGTCTTCTTGAGACAGGGTCTCGCTATGCAGTCCAGGCTGGCCTTGAACTCACTTTGTAGCCCAGGCTGGCCTTGAACTCACAGCCAGCCTCCTGCCTCAGCCTCCCAAGTGCTGGGATTACAAGTGTGCGCCACCACGCCGGGAAGAATGTTTTTTCTTAAAACAAAGTCTTATTAAGTGGCTAAGTTGCTCAAGCTTTCAGGCCTCTTGCCTCAGCCTCCCAGAGTGCAGGCACATGCCACCATGCCCCTCTATTGTTTTTGAACGGCCCGCATCTTAGTGGATACCGCTCCCCCGAAATATCCCACATCCAGCGAGAATAAAGGGCACTCCTCCGGAAGCTCACGCAAACTACTTTCATTCAGAGACACCGCTGGCTGAGGCTTCTGTTTCTATCGATAGACAGATACAGAGTCAGGGTCGCCCCTAAGTAGAAAGGGTGAAGAGACTTTGGAATGTCTGCTTGCTTAGGAAGCAATTTGCAGACCTGACAGCCTACCCACCACCTGCGGAGCTGCGTGGGCCTAGGGCCAGGCCAGTGTGGGCTGGGGCAGAATTCCAGCTTCGAAGAGCACAGGGTGCTCCTGGCGGCTTGCCTCCTGGGAAATGTCAAGCCAGGAAAGCCTGTGGCTGCTCTCTCTGGCTTGGTGTCCTGCATCTTCGGGAGACGTGGTTCAGAGGAGGGCATGGCTTCCAACCGGTACATCCTAAGGGCACATACATTCCTAGACAGGACCCAGACAGGGCATGAGGACTCGGCAGGGACCCTGCTGAGGGGGTGACAAGAGTCTGGTCGAGGAAGCGACTGCAGAAGAGACCCAGAAGACGTAGTACGTGCCTGCCCCCCTTGGTTTTAGCTACAGTAAGATTCGGCCACAATTACCATGTTCTAGAAGGTACCGCACAGCCTCAAAATGACCTCTGTGGGAGCCGATGTACAGCGCCACAAAAGCCCTCTGAGCGATCCACTGCTTCCACTCCGCACCCTCGAGATGTTCAGAATTTGCAGTTCGGTAGAAAGAATCTTCGGTGGTCCCGAGACAGGACAGCTGGGCAAAAGAATTGCAGTGTGGTTAATCCCAGGAGTGCTGGTCCTTCTGGAAAGCAAGGCGTGAGGGGACAGAGGCCGGCGGGGATTGCTGGGGGGAAGGTTTGCTTTGTCCTACACCAAGTCATGGTCCGTGATGGGAGTGGAGCGGTACAAATCCTAATGCTTCATGGAGAAAGCGGGAAATACCAGGGAAGGAGGGCGGAGGACGTGCAGTCAGCACCAGTCAGGCTGGGGAGGCAGGAAGGTGCTCCTGGCACGGTTTGGAAGAGAGAAAATAGCTCTGCTGGTGCCCAGGGAGAGGCGGTCAGGGCCCTTAGGCGAGCCACCAGCCTACACAACCTGGCCCCGGAGCGGAGCCCGAGAAGAAGGAAGGAAAGTCTTCCTGGAGACACAACGGATTCTGACCTTCTGATCTACTTTTGTGGCCATTATCTCCGCTGCCTTGTGGAACACTCTGAACTCACTCCCACGTGAACAGCCCAGCACAGAACCATCTCGTGGTGAATGGAGCACGGGAGGAAGGTTACGGGGTCCTCTGGGGAGGAGCTCTGCACCGGATGTTGGGGTCCAGTGGGGGGCAGCAGGGAGGAACAGAGGGGATGCAGACGCGGGACAAAGGTGATGGTCATTCTGGCTCAGGACCTCAGGCAGGAGGGAAACCAGAGCCCAGAAAGCCAGAGCCCAGGTGACGTCACTGGTGGAAGAGAGGGGACAGGGAAGTGAGCGGAGACACAGGAGGAGGGAAGGTGGGACGGTGCCGGAAGATGTGCAAACGCTGGGGCAGGACGGGACCCCCACCGCTTCCTGCCACCGGTGCTATGAGCAGAAAGGACTGCCCTACCTCTCCAGCCACCTACCCAGTCTTCCCAGGCCAAAGCCCAGCGGCCCTTGGGCTCCCTCCCAGCATGGGAGCTCCAGCTCCTCTTCCCTGCCACACCCCTTCTCTGCAAAGTGCACTTGTCGTGGGCCCGTGACTCCTCTGCCCGGATGGGTAAACATCCTGGTCTCCGTCCTCCTTCCCTGCCCAGCCCAGCGCCCACAGGGCCCAGCAGGCGGCCTGGAAACAGCTTGTGCCTGCCGCAGTCCCCACGCCCTGGACTTGCCCCGGAACGAGGTGGACGCCTCTGTCTTTGTCGCCCACAAGGCCCCAGCTCTGGGCTGCTTTGCACCAAATAATCTGGAGCTCTTCACTAGCGTTAAATTAGCTTTTCAGCTTTTTAGAATACCCGTATGAATAGAAAACGGGTTCCCTTGAGTCCTTTGAGGGGTTGGTTTATAAACCATAAAGAAGCCCAGTAAAACCATAAACTCGAAAGGAAAGGAGACACTTGATACGGGATTTGATCCTCCTGACACAGGCCCTTCTCTTTTTTCCCTGTTCTGAAGCCTTGACTCAAATATCCGTACCAAAGACTGATTTTCCTTCACAACTTATGACTGATTCACATAACATCCCTTCAGAGAAGCGTGAAAACACCTTATTGGGGTCCCCTTCCACCGCCGCCACAACCAGATCTGTCCAACCATCATAATGCCAGATACACAGAGAAAGCACTCCACCCGGTACAACATCGTGGAATCGCAGGGTAGTCTCGTCCGTTAAATCTCCTATGGAGAACAAGTTTTCCTTTAAAACGATCTGAGTATTGCAGAAAAACCATTACATTGGGTAAGAGGTTATCTGACCTTAAATATCACAAAGATAATTTTAGAATCTTGAACAAAAAGTCTCATTCGATGATTCCGCAGGAGTCTGTTTGCGTCATGAATGCTTTTTAGAAGATTAATTTGGCTCATCTCCACTAGAAGCTGGACCAAAAAAGAAAGAAAAAAACCACTCTCCAAAAAAACAATAGCTACAATTTATAAAATTCTGTAAGAATAGCTTGTCCTGTTGTGAAAAAATACCAGTCAGGAAAGTAATTTTCTGAGGTAAACTCTACAAATAAAACTACTTAAGCTTGAAGTAACTATATGTTACGGACAGAGCACAGGATACTTGCACAGGTTATATACATTCAGCTAAAATACCAACTCTGCTAAATGCTGCCATTAGCTGACTAAAGAGGTGAGAGGGACCAAAAAAAAAAAAATGATTGGATAATTCAAATGACAGCCTACAGAGGTGTTTGTCAAGCATGGTACTAGTGACATCTTGGACTAAATGATTCTGTCCTACTACCCGCAGGACATTCAGCGGCACCGCTGGCCTCTACCCAGCAGAAGCCAACAGTGCCTACCCCCAGTTCTTGCAGTCAAAAATGGTTCCAGGCCTTGCCATTGGCCACCGGGGGACAAGGTCATCCCAAAGCAGACCTGTGGTGATTTAAGAAGCCAAGGTTGACATTCACCACATCTGGATCTGGAGGCCGGAGTTTTTGTGCTTGCCGCAAGGCAGCTCATTGTGAAAGAGCAGGCTGAGCTACTCACTCGCATGGGACGGCTCCAGCCTCTGGGGAACACCGTCAGAAGCGGCGGAGAGAATTATACAAAGGACATTTTAAGAAGGGGCACTTGTACCTACTGTACCTTTTTGGCACATACCCATTTTGTGGCACGGCCCCCTACAATATTAAAGATAACCACAAAATTTGCTTCTTTCATAACCAATGGCAAGCATAACATCTCAAATCTGCCAGGGCCAAATCGTAATACATTCTGAGGGGGCAGAATTCATAAATGTTCTACTTTCGTGATGGCTCGATTCCCTTGGGCCCAGGTGCTAAGTATTACTGTGCTTCTGCTAAAAGCTGCATACCTTGATCCCCATGACAACCTTCCAAGGCCAGTGGCCCTCCGTCTGCCTGCGCACACTGAGGCTCGTCCACCACGCCTGGGCAGAAAAGCTTCCTAGCTGACTCACCTCCAGTGGCACCACACCTTCGGGTAGCCGTTCTCAGGAGGGTGGGTGTAAACTGGGGATACTGACTAGCAGACCTGTTAATGAGGACCCTAAGTGTGGTTTGAAAGCGGAGATAATCAGTAATGAGTCTAAGACAACTTGATTTCCTAACAACTGAAAATACTGAGGGAAACCTGGGTTTTCCTGAGAAACACAGGCATGAGAAGAGGTTGTGCTCCTGGAGAAGTCAGAGCACATCTGTTTTACGAAGCAGTCACTGCCTTGGGCTCAAGTACTAATTATTACCGGCTAAATAAATTATCAAAGCTGGTAACAGACGTGGAGGGTGACCCTCACTCGTGAATTTGCTCACCCCGCTAGATTTGTGCATCTCCAGATTTTCACACACATGAGCTCATTTGCTCTTCCCTCTGCAACCTTTGAGGTGGGCAGAAGAGGTGTTGGTCGATTATTTATGGGCAGTAGCCCAAATTTCTCCTTTCGACACAACAGTAACTTCTCGCTCTCTTGGTTGCCACGCATAGTAAGGGCTGCACAGCAGAGAGAGGTCAAGCTTCTAGCAGTTGCTAAGTGACTGCTAAGTGATAGCACCGTGACATCAGTGTTAAGTCAGCCCGTCTCTTTCTCTCCCTCTGAGCTTCCCTGAATTTATTGCTCAGCAGAGCTCATCAGTGAAAATAAATGAACAGAAGGGGTCCAGACATCTGTAGTTGGGGATACATAATTTTCAAATTGCTTGTTGGGGAGCTCTTAGTCAGTCCTTAATGATTCACCTCATTCCTAACATGTTAAATACAGACTAGACCCAAGACACACTTCTTGCTAAATAAAGCCTCTAAAATGCCCAAGAGCCTCTTTGGAGTACTCCTATCGGAAAATAAATATGCCATGAAAAATGCTCAGCCCACCTGAAAGAGTGCAAAGAAGGGAGTTTGGGCCTTCCCTACACATCTGAGGTTTCCTGAGTCATTTCTGTCCCCAGAGGGAAGGACAAGGAGACTCCAAGGACTTACATATGTTAGGAAACTGAGCTCAGGAAGGGCAGTGTCCGGGAGCTGGCAGAGACAGGCTCCTTCCCGACCCGCCTCCATCGCTGCCTGACTCCTGCAGTAACACAGCAGTCTCTCTGTAATATCACTTGTTCACATTCTGTGCAGCTGCCCAGGGACTTCTTTCTCTCAGTGTTTTCTTGCAGTGCTTTGTGTTGATTTCAAGTGGGTGGGGAGACGATGGAGCCCAGGGGCTTTGATCCCGTCCTCACCTCCTAAATGTTATAGAGAGTTGGGAAAGCCACATCCTCAGGCTGATGGAGGGAGAAGAGGGGCTGTAGGGTCCTTGGCCTCCCCTGGGTACCTCCCACGTGGAATTTGTCTGGATAAGGGTCTTGAGACCGTGATTTAGCAATGGTGAGCTACAGGTATTGGGTTCTGATTCTGGTTGGGATAGCTCTGAGCTCTTGGGCAAGGACACAACTTGGGCTTCTGGGTTCTGATGTAGATTGGGTTAATGCCAACATGGGGACTGAAAGGTAGACAGAATTCATCCTGGACTTGGGCTTCTGATGAAAGCAAGGTTTGCTGCCTGTTAGGGGTCTTGGTTTGGGAAGGATCTGTTCTGGGATTTCGAGTCCTTGTATGGCCAGGACTTGTCTTGGGACTTAGGGTTCTCATGTAGCCGTGTTAGTGTGGCCTCTGGGGGTTAGGGATCGGGCAAGTCTGTCTAGAGATCTGGAGTCTTCACAGTAACAGGATCTGCTCCAGGATTTGGGGGTCTTGATATAGACAGGGTTTAGTCTAGAATTTTGGATTCTGGTGTGGCTAGGTTCTGGCTAAAAGATTTGAGTTCCAAATACAAAGTTTGCTTTCAGGACTAGGGCCCTGACATAGGCAAAAACCTTGTTTTGAGTCTGGACTTTCTGAATGGACATGGTTGGCTTCTGTCTCAGAGTGCTGACATAGACACGGTTTCCGTGGAGGTTAGGAGTTCAGGTATGGGTAGCTTTGACTTGAGTTTTGGGGTCCTGTTGTGGGCAGGATTTGTCTCATTCTTGAAACCCGTATGAGGACACTAACCTTAGACTGGGGTTCTGATGTGGTGGTCATGGTGAACTCGGGGACTAGCTTTCAGATGTGGACAGCGTTGGCTTTGGGTTTGGGTGTCCAGATGTGGACAGGGCTGGCCTTGAGTTTTGGGGTCCGGATTTGAACAAAGTTCATTTTGGGCTCTGGCACCATTATGCAAAAGTGGCTGATAGGCTGGGGGGTACACACAGACGGTGAGATGGAGGCTGGGGCTCTGAATGCACACCCACTCTGCACTGAGGGCTGTGATGTGAGGACATCCGCCCTGGGTTCAGGGTTCTGCTGTGCCAGAGGACAGCTTGGAGACCTGAGGTTCAAAAGTGGCAGAATGTGTGAGACCACGGGAGCCCGAGGTGGGTGAAGTTTGCTGTGGGCTTTGGCATCCCCGTGTAGACATGCATGTGCAGGCTTCGGGTGCTGATGGTCACACAGTTAGCCTGGGGATCTGGGGCTCAGATTTAGCCAAGCCTGAACTTGGTGTGGGGGTCCTGAAGGAGGCTTTGTTTTGAGAGTTGTCCACATGTCCTCATGTGGACACGTTGCTGGAAGATTCAGGGTTCTCAGGTAGTGATGGGTTAGCCGGGAGATTTGGGGTTCAGCTTTGGGCAGCCTTGTCCTGGGCTTGGGGGGTCCCAAAGTGGGCAGAGTTTAGTTGAGTTTAGACATCCTTATGTAGACATGTTTGCTTTGGGGGCTGAGAGAAAATCATGTTTGGCCTTTGGGCTGGGGTTCAAATTTAGCCAAGTTTGCTCTGAGTTTGCAGGTCCTGCAGCGGGCAGTTTGAGTCTTAGCTTCCTTGGAGGGTCACAGTTGATGGAGAGTTTGGGATTCTAAGGTAGGGATGGTTAGCCTGGAGATTTGGGCAGGTTTGTTCTAGGTTTTAGGGTCCTGAGGTCAGGAGAGTTGCGTCACCCTTGCATGAACACAGACGACTAGAGCCACCTGATGTTCACAAGTCTGCATGACGGGTTGGGGTGTGGCCCCCTGGAGGAATTATGCAGAAGAAACTAAATACGTGAGTCTACAGAGGGTTGTGAAGTGTGATCTTCAGTGGTTCTCACTGGGGCAAGTTCGCCCTAGGCTTTCAGGTCCCTTATGAAGAGATGGGGAACTTGAAGGCTGAGGTGGGGTGTCCTACTGTGGCTTTGAGAGTTGGGGTTCTAGTATGAACAAGATTTGCTCAAGGTTGGTGGATGTCACCTAATACAGACTGTGTTGCACAAGGTTTGCTTTGAGATTTGGGGTCTAATGTCAAGTCCGTGTGTTTGGGCTTGGGAAGTCCCTATGTGGCCACAACCCCAAGTGGCTCGTCCCTCTAGGGTTTCAAGGTGGCTGGGGTTTACTTTGACATCTGGGGTCCTCTGGTAGGCAGGTTTCCCTTTGGGCCTCGGGTCAGAAATGTGCCGGATGCCCCCGGGCTTGAGGGAGCGCTGGCAAGGTAGGAAGGGTCGGGTGGGAGACACCTTGGTCCAGGTACTGCAGCCGCTGGAGGTTGAAAGGGATGCCGACCATCAGGTCCAGGTCCTCCTTGAGCTCGCGCACGGTCATGTCGCTGCGGCAGTTTGCCACTCGGAACATCTCCCCGGTCGGCTCCAGCCTCACCCGCACGAAGAAGACGTCCGGGATCAGGTCGAGCGCCTGCAGGTCGCCGGCGAGCGGCTTTCTCCGCCCGCGGACCGGGGCTGAGGGGGCCGCGCAGAGTGGCTGCGGGGCCCCGGCGCTGCCCC